TCTAGCCCTGCTCGCCAGAAAGACCCCCCCCTTCACTACAACCCATGCCTAAGCAAAAGCTTGTCGGGGAGCAAGGGGAGGAAGGGAATACTGCTTTACAGTACGTACTGCTTTNAGCAGAGCGATAAAAAACAAGAAAACAAAAGAATCAGAAACAAATAAATAAATAAATAGTGGAATGTGCGCACCACCAGCCTGGGGGGTAGCCTTCCGGAAGGACCCCAAGGGTCAACAGTACGTGCCAGTAAAAAAACAAAACAAAATACAACGAAAAAAACCAAAGACAGACGAGGACATAAACAAACTCGCACAGAGACAGGGATATCCGTAGAGACAGTCTAAACGCGACAGCAAACGGGGGAGAGGGCAACAGAAAATGATGCAGGTACACAATCAAGGCACCCGGGTTATCCGCGCCATCTCTGCCGCGTCTCTCTACAAAACCAGTGACGTCATCACAAATACCCAACACCTATATTCAGGAAAAACACGGACAATAATCGACAACACGAGAGATGTTTGTCCGTGCGTCACGGTTCGATGCCGTCCGCATGCTCCGGTGCCGCTGCTCCGGTGCCGCTGCTCCGGCATCGCTGCTCTGGTGTCGCTGCCGCCAGTCCTTGCACAACCGAACTCGACCCGCTCCGTCCGTACACGCTCTCGTTGCTGTCCTTCCCAGTCGGTTCCTCGCTTTCTCCGTCGTTGCACTAAATCTTCTTAGTCTGGAAAATCTCGCGCGGAAGGGTCAACCAGCCCAATCAGCTCGTCACCACCTGTCCCCTCCTCCTTTGATGGCAAAAAAAAACAGGTTACTGAGACAGTACAGCTCCATCTAGCAAACCCAGGGCCGTGTACATAGTGCCCGTCCACCTTTCTGATGGCGTCTGCCTCCGCGCACAAAGAAAAGATGGGCATTACTGCCTACACCGACGGCCATGGATGCCCGCGCATCTTCACCTTTGTACCTGACGCACCAGTNAAATTCTCGCGCCGAAGGGTCAACCAGCCCAATCAGCTCGTCACCACCTGTCCCCTCCTCCTTTGATGGCAAAAAAAAACAGGTTACTGAGACAGTACAGCTCCATCTAGCAAACCCAGGGCCGTGTACATAGTGCCCGTCCACCTTTCTGATGGCGTCTGCCTCCGCGCACAAAGAAAAGATGGGCATTACTGCCTACACCGACGGCCATGGATGCCCGCGCATCTTCACCTTTGTACCTGACGCACCAGTGCCGACCCAACTCCACCACTACGCACGCCTCGCGGCGGGTGCGCC